GTGCCCGGGAGAGCAGCCTGGTGGCAGCGGGACAGCCCGGGGGGGCTGGCGGTGCTGCGGGGAGGATGCACGGGGGACACCTTGCCCTGACGGCAGCCCTGAGGGATGGGGCAAGGCGACCTGTGGTCACCTTGAATGACACCGTGTAGCACCGATGATGACTTTTTTATTAGGAACCCCAAATATTCAACTCTTCTTGAAACGAACAGGGGGTGGGGGAGCCCCAAAGGAGCTCGGGTGTGACGCCTGGGAAGCTGCACTAGACCCAGGAAGGGTGAAACCTGGAGAGCAGAGTATTTAACTGTCATTGAGGTCCTAAATCCTCAGTCTTCTTCGGAGTCACTGGTGAGACTGTGCCCAAAAACTTACTGCGGGAAAGACAAAAGCAAAATCAATGAAGCTGAGCCTTAAAAGTCAGTGTAAGGTCACACTGCCCGGGGCACTCCAACGTGTCTCCTGCCACGAGGAAAATACCTGTTGGCGTCTGCAGAAATAGCCCCGTTTTGCAGGGAAACGGGGCACAGCAAATGCAGAGCTGTGCTGGTGTCGAGGGCCTTTGGAGCTCCTGAGCCATTCACAGCACAGCAGCACCCTGTGGCATTGCTAAAGAGGTGACATTGCAGCTGAGCCAGCGCTGAGCACCCGTACCCTGCTAACGGGCTGAATGCCAGAGCTGGCTGAAGCTGGCGCAGTGGAGCATGCAGCGTGCCAGGATTAGACAGCCCGGCCAGCCCCGGCCCCCGCTCGGTGCTGCAAGAGGGAAAACAGAGGGAAAATAGCCGAAGTCCTGAGATACAGCGAGGACGAGTCTCCGGTGGGCAGCGTGCAGGGCTCACCAGCTGCCTCGGGGTCCCGCGGCTCCGCGGGCTGAGGGAGGGGAGCACTGCGAGCACGCTGGTGTCTACTGCCGGCCCCGGACGCGTGCACCAGCGAGCGCTCGGCTGAGTGCCTGCGGGCTCAGCGCTTCACGGCAGTTGGCCGCGCCGTGCATGCCATAGTGCCCGTGCTCTGAGAAAGGTGGGAGCGGGATGGTGGGGCCGGTCCTGACACCTGCAGCCTTTTTTGGGTGCGGGGAGGAGCCCGGCTCCAGCACCCCACAGGCAGGCAGAGCAGGAGAGGAGCTGCTGGGTGGCATCTGACCCTGCTGTCTTCTCCTACCTCTCTCCCCAGCTGGGTGGCCTACGAGCAGGCCAACATGCGTGGGGAGATGTTCATCCTGGAGAAGGGCGAGTACCCTCGCTGGGACACCTGGTCTAGCAGCTACCGGAGCGACTGCTTCATGTCCATGCGTCCCATCAAAATGGTGAGCGGTCCGGGAGCAGAAAGTGCCCAGCGGGGTCTGGCCGGGGCCGGATCGGTGCTGCTCGATGCCTCATCGCAGCGAGCTCCGGGGCTTTGGCCACGCGACTCAGCGCCTTCCCTCTGTCGTCCCCAGGAGGCTGAGGACCACAGCCGCTGTGCTTACGGCTTCTGCGCCCGCGTGGGCAGCGTGCAGGTGCCCAGTGGAACGTAAGCCGGGCTGCGGCGGGGGCTGCCTCCTGCCAGGCTCCCCGTCCTTCCCCCTGCCCCAGCTCGGGGGCAGCTTGCGCCCCGCTCCGGCTCGCTGCCCGCTGATCCTGAGCACCCACACGGAGCGCTCGGGCAGCCAGAAAGCGCTGCATGGCTGCTTTCGGCGGGG